ATTGGCTTCATTTGTTACTTTTCATCAGAATAAACATCAATGCCCTGGTTGACATATGACTGAGGATGGGCATAACCATGGTAACTCCAGCACTCATGAGGCTGCAGCAGGAAAAGCATGAATTTGAGCAAGCCTTAGCTACGTAGTAGTCAGACCCTGGCTCAACAACAGACAAACAAAATAGGGGGAAAAAAAATAAGACTTGGTACCTGTATAGTAACATAAAGGGATATTGTGTTAAGACTCACAAGCCAAGTATGGGTGCTGTCTGTGCGGCTGTGTAGAGAAAAGATTGCTTCAGATGAGCCGTTAGAGGTGAAGCAGTCCCAGGTTGGAATCTAAAGAATGTTCAAGATCCTAGAAGTGACTGCTGGAGATCAGTGCTTTAGGCAGAGGGAGAGTGTGGAACCTGTTCAGAGCAGGAAAAGTGATCTTCAGGTTTTGAGGATCCGCCATAGGCTTTACCTGCCTCGTGTGCATGTCCTCCTGTGTCAGAACAATCTGACCTCAGTAAATTTTTTCCCTTCTTACCTGCTGGAGTTAGGAAGCTTGGATTGCAGCATTAGAAATAACACCTTTACACTATTACTCAATAACGACAGCGTTATTGAGATTTCCTTAATGCTGTGAGGCAGGAACTGGCCCTCATGATGGCAATTCATTTTTCCCTTCACTGCAAGGTTTGGTGGCCCCACTTTGAAGGCTAGGTTGAGTCTGCCAAGGTTGAAATTTAACCGCTCCTGCCTGGATTGCTGCAGTATTTTTTTTTCTCCCCCTAGAGTTTCCTCTAGTCATCCAGCCCTTTTCCAGGAGAGAGTCATCTCCTGTAGCTTTGCTTAGGTGCTGTAATGTCCTCCCTCAGAAATCTGCAAAGATGTTTGCCCATTACTGAGTACTTGTTATGTGGCAATCCCGCTGCATTAAAACGTCGTAGAAAAGCAGAAAGTGGGCATGGCTCTCGTCCCCACTTTATAGACAGGAAAACTGGTGTGCAGAGAAACTAAACAGCTAGCCCCCAAATCTCACAGTTTTCCAGACTCACACAGGATTTGCTGCTAATCACACCGAAGTAACTGAGGCAAGGATTCCAAACCATCTGAACTGGACATGCTTTTTGCTACTCTTTAGGAGAAAGCTTTTTACCATGGGCTTTACCTGTAACATCTATGTTTTCCCTTTAAGCAAATTCCTTTTTTTATTCCATTTTACAGATGAGCAGATTGAGGAATGGAGAAATTAAGTCACTTGCCAGAGTCACATGATCAGAGGATGGTAGAGCCCAGGAATGATCAGTGGCAGCTCCCTTGGAAGCCCGCACTCATTCATAGTTGCTATGGTGTACTGCTTCCCAGCTTGATTTCTTTAATTAACATTTGACTACTATTCTAAGTAATGTTTTTATCAATTTTTTAAAATCAGGGACGGAGGCTGTTCCAAAGAATGGTTTCCAGTGTGGGTTAATGCTTTAGACAGACAACCCTGCCTGGAGGAAGGCACCTTGAAGAGAACCACTGTAGCCCTTCTACCACAGCTAGACAGCTGAGTATACAGCGTGACCTCTAGACAGTGCAGAGAAGGAAAAGCATACTCTGCCTTCCTCGCCCGAGAGGCTAGCATGTACCCTCAGTTCCCCTGAAGATGTGGACCCGGCTTGGAGCAGATGCTCTGAGTGGAGATTTTCAGTGCTCTCAGGCACCTGTGTGTCTAGTTCCAGCCTAAACAAGTCTCTTTCTGGCTCATCAAGGTGGAGAGGGAGTTCATCTAAATGGGGATAATTGTCTTCAGTCTATTACTTCCTGTACACCCCTCCCTTTAAGGAAAATTATAGTTTATTTTTTTACTTACTGGGTAAACGTGTGTGTGTGTGTGTGTGTGTGTGTGTGTGTGTGTGTGTGTGTGTTTAAAATACAGTCTCATTATGTAGCCCAGACAGCTTTGGACTCTTGATATTTCTCCTTACTGTTGGGGTTGTGGACATGTGCTACCACAGCCAGCTTATTTTGTGTGTGCACGCGTGTGTGTATGTCACGTACATGTGTATTCTGAGTGCATGTGTATGTTTGTGTGTGCATGCGCACATGCATGCACACCTTCCTGTCACTTGTAGGCCACAGTCAGACAGTGAGTGTCTCCCTTCATGGTGCTCACCTTATTTTCCGAGACAGCGTCTCTCGCTGACCCTGGAGCTCACTGATTGACTAAGCTGGCTGACCAGCAGTCTCCCTGGCCCTAAGGGAGAGATAGCACCATGTCCCACCCGGATCTGAACTCAGGTTCTGATCTTGCATGGCAGGTACTTTCTTGGCTGAGCCATCCCCCAGTTTTTTTTGAGATAAACTCTAACCATGTAGCTTAGGCTAGCTTCACACTCACTGTATAGCCCACGGTGGCTTTGAATTTATTGGGATTATAGGCATTTGCCACCATGCCTGGCATGCATAATTTACATACAATAAATATATCCAGATTAGGAGGCTGGTTTGCTGAATTTTGACAAATTTCATATGTGTGTAGCCACTAGCCCAAACAAGCAGACCCTTCCTGGTGAATTCTCTTGCCTGCTTGTCTCATTTCTGATCCCGTAGGTTAGTCAGTCTCGCTGCTCTTGGATTTGACGAAAATGAAATCACACAGCTATATTTGGTTGTGTGTGGCCACACTGTGGAATTGCTCCTTAAAAAACAAAGGGAATGAACTACAGACATACATGGCAGGATGAATGTCCCTGGGAATTGTCCCTGGAATTATGTAGGGTTCATTTTCTTCAGATTAGCATCAGGGACACAGTAACTAAAATAACTCAGATTCTTCTCTGGGCTGATTAGAGAGCACAGCCACTGACATTGTTTTCTCCTTTATTCCCTTTTATCTATATACAAAAAAAAAAAAAATGTGCCTTTAGGACATGATCAGTTTATGTTAAAGTTGTGGATGATCATGATCATTTTTTTTTCTTTTTTAACTTAAATTTCTTTTTTATAATTTATTCACGTTACATCCCAATTCTAGCTCCCTCCCGTCCTCTTCCCCTCCCCTAGACCTCAAAAAGGGGGAGCCCTCCTCCCCTACCATCCGAACCCAGCCTATCAAGTCTCATTAGGACTGTGTGTGTGCATCCTCTTCCTCTGTGGCCTGGCAAGCCCTTCCCCAACCAGGAGGAAGTGATCAAAGAGCTGGCATCAGAGTCTATGCCAGAGATAGACTCTCCCCTGCTCCCCTTACTCCCTCCCACATGGAGACTGAGCTGCCTATTGGCTACATCTGGTCAGGGGTTCTAGGGCCTCATGCATGATGAAAAAAAAAAAAAAAAAAACAGAAAACTTTTTTAAACGGGAGTAAAAATTGCAAGATGCCTTTCTTAGAAAGGTGGAAGGTTGGACCTGTTCTGTGGTGACTATTTAATATGGCAAACACCGGAAAAGATAAAAGGAAGGAAGCGAGCAGACCTGCCCGCTCCAGGGTGGCTGTCCGGGGGCCCTGGATGCTCATTTCTTGTCTACTCAGAGCTGCGTGCTGTGCGCTTTTCATTGTCATGAGAGGCAATGTTAGGGAAACTATCCCCCACAAAAAAACAGCTTTTCTTGGCAGGGGAAAGATGACTTAAGGAGCCAGAACTGGAGACATACGGCACCATGAATGAGAGCTGCGCTGCTCTGCTGGAGCCGAGTCCAGGCACTATTTATACTGTAGCATATTCGGCAGCAGATTGTCAAGTCTTAATACTGAAACAGTGCATCATTTTAATATTTTTGTTCTGTTTCTTCCCTGTTTTCAAGCATTATGTCAGGCAGTACGCGTTCATTTATTTCATCTTGGACAGGGCATGCCCTCACCAGAAAGCTCATTCCCTACCCTCAGAACCTTGCCCCACAGCTACAGAGTCATTCTGTGACTCTTCTAAAGGCACCTTTGGGTGTACAGGTGTTCTCTTTCTTCAGTGATAAAAATATATGTATTTTGAAAGAACAGTGTACTTAGACTCACCTGTATTGTCAAAAGGAAAAATAAAAAATGCTGTTTTTCTTTTATCTCTAAAACATAACGTTTTTATATGTGACAATTTCTGGCATCCTGTGGGGACCATTAGATTTTTTCATAGCACGGAAATAAAATTTTTGTTACCCGGTGTCATTTGTGAAATGAGTTTCTTTATTTTTTCTTCATCAACTTTCTGTGTGCCCTGTGCTCCAGACCAGAGGGGCCCATTGGATGACTAAGTTAGCATCTTACGACAAGCTGCTTGAGCATCCCATGAATCTTCCTGCAATAGAGTTTATGTCCAAAGTTGCTGCTCTTTGCAGCCCGAGCTTACCCAGGAGCTTTTCTGTTTGTCATCCAGGCTTACTGTAGACACCAGGAAACCCACAGGGGAAAGGCACTATTGTCATTCGAGAAAGAGCCCAGGAATAAAAACAGGCAGCTGAAGGTATCTTGGCTTGTCCTGAGCCCTGACACTTGGAACCAGAAGGCTAGAGGAATTCTTTTCCAGGGGGGCCAAGTGCTGTGCCCTGGGAATCACACCCCATTCACAGCGTGACTGAGAGTGGAGCCTACACAGCAGCTTTCTTGTTCAATTTGGAACCAAGTCTTATATTATGTGAAGCCTGGTTGTTGTTTTTTATTTTTTATTTTTTATTTTTTTTTTGGTCTATGAAATCAGCAGCCCTATATATTTAGCATCAGTCTTAAGTTAGACTGTGAAACAAGACTTTGGGGGAAAGGCAATATGTGTCTGATTTTCTAAGTAATTTAAGACGCCGAAAAACATAAAAGAACCAATTGTCTGTGATTAAACTCCATCCTTTTCATCCCTTATCTCCCCTGCGTCGTTCACTAACCCAGCTGTTGGCCAGAAAGGAATACCTCATTGCCCTGGGTCGTTAGTACTGGAGTGGGCAGCCAGCGCTGACTACTGAATGACCTTGTTGACACTGAACAAGCTATGGAAGGGTTTGGTAAATTGCAGATAGATGTTTATTGTGTTTTTCTTTCCTGGGCAGGAATAATCAAGCTGGGGAGGTGGAACCCTCTCCCCCTCAGCTATGTGACAGACGCCCCTGATGCGACTGTGGCCGACATGCTGCAAGATGTCTATCACGTTGTGACGCTGAAGATCCAATTACAAAGGTGGGGATTTCTGACCGGCTGTCTGTCTGCTTCCTCCCGGAGCTGCCTCATGGATCTGAGATTCACTGTGGAGTTCAGCTTGTCTCCAGTCATTTTTAGACAGGGGGTGAAATGAAAAGAGGGAGGAGAGAGGAGGGAAGCGGCGGATGCCTCACCAGGCGTCTTTAGAGTCCACATTCCAACTGCCTTATGCTGTTTTCAGAGGCAGTGAACTGGTCACCCAGGGGCCGCCTGTTAAATCATTATAAGTCTTGAGGGCAGGTGAAGGAGGGCTCTGCCTCCTCCTGTGGCTTCTGTAGGCTTTTCCAGGAGCTTAGCGAATACCATCTGAAGCATCAGATCCCCTGGCCGTCTTCTGGTTGGTCTGCTGAGGGGAGAATTTGCTTCTTCAGCAGGTTTAGTGCTGTCTTTCTCGTTGTGATGGTTGCTCGGTGAAAGGCATCCTGTGATGTATAGGGGATTAGCAGTGCTGCGCACCTCCCATCGCTGTAGCCTTTTGGTCCATTTCAGCGCTGTTCGGGAAGGTCCGAGGTTTAGAAGCAGGACATCTTCATATTCATTTGCAGAGTGACAGTCTCCGTTGACTGTTAGGATGGGGGTCCACCTCTGCCGGGGTCCCCTGAAGTCTGAGGAAGCAGCCTGCTTGCCTTCCCTCTCTTGGGAGCCTTCTAGATCTCCTACTGACACTTATATGGGGCCCAGTAGGCACACAGCACCTCTGTCCTCTGCAGCCAGGGCCGTGGTGGAGGCTCATGTGTGACTCGCTCTCGCTGTGTTTTGCAGTTGCTCGAAGTTGGAAGACTTGCCCGCGGAGCAATGGAACCATGCCACGGTCCGAAATGCCTTAAAGGAACTGCTCAAAGAGATGAACCAGAGCACGCTAGCCAAAGAATGCCCTCTCTCCCAGGTCAGTGTCTGCAGGAGGCATCTTCTTTGTGTTGCTCCCGCACTCACACTGCGCTGGTGGAGCCTGATTCAGGGTGAAAACCATTCTTTCTTGCTAATGGCTTGAAGTCCCTGTGAATGTCCGAAACACTTCACAAGCACAATCCTTCACTTTCCCTTTGTGTCAATAGGACATCATGGCACGGGGAGTCACTTAAGTTTCATGTTGAAACTTCTTCTGCCAGTTAAGTGCCAGGTGAGGCCTTGTGCCAGGCCTCTAGTTCCTAAATTGACATTCCCAGCAGGATGGGGTTGCCATGCTCGACCTTACGTTTTGCAATGATTAGGTGACTGTTTGCCCTGTTTTGCTGTTAGAAGTTGATCTTCATGGTATAGATACCCATAGAAGCTTTTTTGTTCCTTAAAATAAAATTAACACACACACACAAAGCACCATTAGAAACAATGACAATTCATGGTTTTTGTGATCATAAACTGAAAGAAACCATGAAAACAGGAAACTGAAGTGCTCCAAGAAAGGACTCAAAGCTAAGTCGTATTTGGTTTTCCTTCTGGAGCTTGGCAGTTATCTAAAGGTTTCTGTGGATAGTATATGTTTTCTTGAACATCCCACTGGCCTATAATTTACAAAAGAAACCCTGAGGACAGAAGAGAAATATGGAGAAGTCCATAAAAAGGCAACAATTGCAGCCTGTGTGTTTAAGGGAAACTCATGATTTAGCTGTTCTGTCTGGCCAGATGCTAAGGAAGTATAGGTTATTGTGTGTCTGTGTATTTTTTTTTTTTTTTTACTTCACCTCTCAAAGCATGCTTAAATTGGGATAGTCTCTTCCTTGTCCCCTGATGCCTTTGTGAGTCACCGAATCTAGTCATAAAGGCTGTTCCTACGCAGCAGCCTGTGTGTGTTACAAACACAGTTTCCGGTGTCTTGTTGACTCTTAGCTGTGACTACAAAACCTTCAGTCTTGAGGGTTTTGGCCATCTATATCACCAGACCTTGCCCACTCATGGCTCATCATAGGTTCTTATGGTGACCAAGAGGGCTGCCCCACAGTAGCTTTATTAACTGAAAATTTGAAGGGAAAAAAAATTTACAAAGCCGTGCATCTTCCCATGCTTTTGGTGTCTTGATAGAAGTTTAGGTCCTTGTGCTAAAAATATCTGAAAGAATGTTAGTCTTTTAACTAGTCTGTAGGTAACTAGTATTGAGTACATTCTCAATGCTATAGGACCATCACCCACCTGTTTATAACTTTTGTCACCCCACACAGTGTCTATGACCCCTGAATAATAATTCTCTATTTTTCTATCTCATTAGATAACTGGTAACTTCTCATTTCTCTCTACGAGTTTGTGTACTCTACACCCTCACACAAGTGGGGCTAGGGAGAAGATAGTGCAAGGACACCATTCCATGACACTGCATGGATTTTACACACAAAAGAATACTTGCAAAATAATCTTTCCCTTTACTACGCTGAAAGTGTCTTGTGCTTATTGTATTCACTGACACACCACGAAGCAGCCTGCAAACCCCAAAAGTGACCACATTGTCACTTGCTACCTGCCCCTTGTGTTTGCAGAGTACATAGGGAAGCCAGGAGACACCATCTCCTTCCCACGGGATATTCTCACTCGTACAGCATCTGCCATTCGCTGGTTTTGGAATATTCTTTCACAGCAGGTGTGTTACATGTCTGCATCCAAGCAACTGTAAGAATCACACTACACAAATCAATCCTGCCATGCCAATAGGAGTGTGGCAAAAGTTATCCAATCATTTTATCTTTCATTTTTGAGGAAAGGGAGGTGCTCAGGCCTCTGTCTTCCTGAGTGTTCTATGCAAACAGATATATGTTCTTTCCTGTTGTTAGTTTGCCTTTGTTTTGAGACAAGGTCTCACTGTGTAGTTCTGGCAGCCCTGGAATATGTGGTGATCTTCCCATCTTTATCTCTTGAGTGTTGGGATTAAAGATGGGTACCACACACCGGCCTGCTATTAACTCTTAGACTGTAGGTTCCTTCCATTTCTACAATTCTAAAGTCTTTGACTCATGAAGGACTAGACGTCATCACTTACATGTTCATTTTGTTTTGGAGGCAAGGTCTTACTCTGTTGCCTTGACTGGCATGGGAATTGCTATGTATAGATCAGGCTAACCTTGAACATATAGAGTTGTCGGCCTATGAGTTCTAAGTGCTGGGTTATAGGCGTGTGCCACCATACCCATCTTTTTTTTTTTTTTTTTTTTTTTGTACACAAAGTTCATGTATCTCAGGCTGTCCTCAGCCTTGCTATGTAGCTGAGGCCAGCCGTCACTTCTCAATCATCTTTACCCCCATTTCCTGTGTTGGGGCTATATAAGTGAACCGTCACATCTACTTCCACTCATGTTTTTGTTTTTGTTTTTGTTTTTTGTCACCTTGTTTCTTACTTTGTCTGCAAAACATCTGAAGCATTCTCATTGAGCTGTGTTAGTTGACAGAGGCAATAGGGAATACTTCCTTCTTTTTATTAGTCAGCTTCTTCTCCTAAGAAACCACCAGGGTCAGCGAGAGCATTTAGTGGCCACTAAGCCTGCGGTCCTTAGTTAGATCCTGGGACCCATATAATGGAAGGAGAGAACTGGATCCCAGAAGTGCTGCTCTAACCTCTACACTCTAACATCTAAGTGTTGTGTGTGCCTCCTCACAAGCTAAATAAAGAAATACAAATGTAATTAAAAATCAAATAAAGTCAAAGAAAGTATGTGTGGGAGGCCGGAGGATGGCACGTGAGCATGAGATCACCCAGGCCCGCAGCTGGGCTTACTTTGTGGCATTTTCCAGTATATCTAACTTTGGTCAATTGAGATTTCTCATCTTGAGCCTGTAAGCCCTCAGTTTGGAAATTGAGCCACACTTATAATCAGGTGTGACATCTGTTGCCTGGGCTAGTTAAAAAAAAAACAAAAAACAAATGAGTTTAAAATTTATCTCAGAAATCTAAAAGCGGATGTATTTTTAGACATGGCAATCTAGCTAAAATAAGTATAGTCGGTCATGTGTCCCTTAACGATGGGGCTTCATCTTGAGAAATGAGTCTTCAGATGATTTCATCATCATCATGTGAACATACAGAGTGTGTATGGCAAAATCTAGATGGTGAGTTCAATCACTCAGTGTGGCCTTCAGATGCAATCAAGAGACGTAGGACGCGAGAGGTGTACAAAGGTGCTACAGCTCTAGCATGGCATATGACTTTCCAGTGAACTTCTGTAGGTAGGAGAGCATACTCCAGAACAAGGAACAAAGAACAATATAGTAGTCACATAAACCAGTAAGTGGCAGAGTTGTCTGTGCTCACTGTCAAGCATTGCATATTAATCCATATGTGTGTGCTATAGTTTTCTACAACTGGCAGCGTAGTACAATTGTTTACCAGAGAATGATTGCAAAAACATGGCGGGAATATGTTTTGTTACAGTGCTATGTCACCGGGAGATAGGTGGTTTTTCGCTCTGTCATATCTTTCAGGACCACTGTAGTCTGTGCTGTCTCTCACTGAGTAAAGCACCCTTCCACAGCACATCACTGTGTTGAATACTGTATTTTGTCCTCTTGCAGTTTGGCGTAGAGTGATTTCAAGACAGCTAGTTGACTTTGGAGGAACTAAAACAATTCTAGTATATTTAGATTCTCCAAATACCTTCTTATGTACTTATTTTTAATTTTTCTGAGACGGGGTCTCACGGTGTAACTGTGTTTCTGCCAGAGCTTAGTATGTTGACCAGGCTGGCCTCCAGCTCACAGATACCTGCCTACCTCTGCTGGGATTAAAGGTGTGTGCTACTGTACTCAGCATAGCACCTTATATATTCACTTATCTTTTAAAAACCAGGACTGAGAAAATATCTCAGTGTGCAAAAGTACTTGCCGTAGAAGCATGAGGTCCCATGCTTGGGGAAAAGTCCCCTTTCCCCCAAACCTATTTAAAGCCAGGCATGATAGCACACACCTGTAATCCCAGTGTTCCTAGCATCCATCTCTCTTTCATTAAAAAAAAAAAAAGAAACTACTTTCCAATACTAGTAGCAAACAGTGTACTGTAGAAGGATCGAGTAGCAAAGTACGTGCTGCATAAGGCTGAGCTGACTAGAAAATAGCACACTTGAATTTATTCCCCATCCACAGTTTTTATGCTTAACATTTTTACAGTTCATCATGAAGAATTCTGCAAAAAGTTCAAGTGTTTCCAAGTTGGAAAGGCATAGCACTATTCATAAAGTAGGTGTGTCTACCACCACCGTCTATGTAGTAAGTAAACCACAGGCTATGTACATAGCTGCAGGCCATGTTGAAATACAGTCTGCGTGGAGGCAGTTTCAGGCCTGTGTCAAGGGTACCCTCATCTCGTCTTTCTCGTGACCCACTACCAAGACAAGTGAGGCATGCTCTGTGGACGCAAAGCTGTTTTAATATAAGCCCCCCCCCCAACAGTTCATTTTCCGAGTTAGAAATATCAATACACACATCTCCCAGGTCATTTTTTTAATCCATGTCCAGTTTCACTTGCATTCTGGATTGAAAACATTGACTGACCTCTTCCCCATTTGCCAAAAGGATATGGGGATCCTAAGACTCTAACTGTGTGGCTGTCCTGGAGTGACTAGACAACAGAAAAGATAATGAGTTCTAAAATCACACACAGTTAAAAAAAAAAAAAAAAGCAGTAAGAAGAATGAGTTTGTATGCTGTCAGAGTGGAAGGTGGGAAGGGTTTTAATCAATATTTGTCCCGTTCTGCCTTCACTGACTCGTTCAAGGCGCTACTGACAGGCTGTGGGGATATCATTAGCTTGGTGGTAGACCTCTTGCCTGACATATGCAAGGCTGTGTGTTGGATCCCCAGTGGCATAGAACGGCAAAGGGTGTTAACTGATTAGAAGATGCACCCCTGTGTCTGTGATATTAAATTGCCCTAAACTGCCTTAGAGTGAGGCGTGTGTGGTGCATGCCCATCCTCTGTGTCTCAAGTCCTCTCGAAAAGAGGACTGTGTGCCTGTGTTAGCTCCTCGAAGCTTTGCCTGTCACTAGCTATGTTCGGAATTTCCAACATACCGGTGGTGCCACCACTGGTGAGGCGACATGACCTTTGCTGCATGCACTGTTTCCAAAATGTACCCGTGTTTTTAAGTCTTCATGACGTGTGTAACAACTTAGCTATAAAACTACCGAGAGGACGCTATGCAGAGAGTTTATATGAATAACTGTATCACAAAATCAGTGAAGTCTTTCTGGTAGTTCAAAGCTCTCATTAGCCAGGGAGTGTCCATTTTTTGTTTTTGTTTTTTTTCTACCTAATTCTTTTGCTTAGTTCATAGTTGAAATCCATTCCGTGTTCTGTAGCAGTAGAGACTAGAAACTCTTTTTTATAAGAATCTGGGGAAGAGAGTTTCACTGAGGCAGGTGCCCTGCCTCCTTTCTTTAAAGCAATTGCATGAAATTTAAGCCCTGGTGATAGAGCCGGTAGAGGACACCTTCTCCCTGCCTCCCCACAGAGGCTCACGACGGCCTTGTGCAGCGCCAGGGAATGGGTAGCTGGAGCAGTGTACAGGGAAGGCTAAGAGAGTGACGGAGTGAGGGGTTGTCTGGGACCAGAGTCGGGTGGGCTGCGGCCTCACCTTCTGAGCCAGGAGGAGTTAAAGGGGAGCTCCGGAAAGTCCTTGGAAGCTTTCTAGACTTGTCTGTGAGAGGAAGTCTGACTTTGACTCCTGCTGTGGTTGTCTATCCAGTGCCTTCCCAGAAGACAACATTCATAGCAAGATATAAAGATGGCAAGCATGTTTGCGAGTTCACACCCCAGTGTGGCTGTGGCAGGCAGCTTTTATTAGGTAGCTTTCATGTTAGAATTTCTATTATTATGACATTTCAGTTTGGCATTTCAGAATTTCATCCTTGTCCCTTCATGTGTTAAATTGCAATGACTCAGATATCCCACATCAGAACTATGTGAGACACGAAGAAGAAGGGGGAAGGGGGGAGGACCGGAGATGGCAGCTTGTCACTTTCCTCAAGGTCCCACTGTCTAGGAAGAACGAATTGATCTCAGTCCAGAGAGGGAGCTAGTGGAGCCTAGTGCTGCACAGCTTTATTTGGTTACAGAGCAGGCCAGGCCAAGGGAGAGTATCTAGGGCAGCAGGCAAGGATTTGTAAGTCTTATGTGCTGATGGTTTGTTGTTGTTGTTGTTCAGGTCCTGAGAGCATAGAGCTTTCTCTGCTATCTTCCCTTAGAGGGAAAGAAATGTCATTTAGAGAAAGCCGTCTGCTATGTGGAAAAGGCCATAGAGGTTTCTTTAACTGGAATGAGAGATTCCTTCCTCCAGGTGTGCATCATGATGGGAAAAAAGGAAGCAAGCCTGAGGCAGATGTGGGTCTGTCCGCTGACGTGTGACCGTTCCTGCTAAGTAGCTTACTTCAGTTCATTGTCATCCTCCGTCTCTCCTACTTTGTAGAGATGTCATCAGAGGGTCTAACATTTCCTGAGTTCTTCCATGTCTGGGGATGACTTTTTGTTGTTTTCTGTTTTCTGAGACAGGGTTTCTCTGTGTAACCTTACTGTCCTGGACTCGATTTGTAGATGAGGCTGACCTTTAACTCATAGAGATCCACCTGCCTCTGCCTCCATGAGTGCTAGAATTATAGGCATGCACCACCATGCCCATCTGCCTTTTTTCTTTCCTTCTTTTTTCTTTCTTTCTTTCCTTTTATTTATTTATTTATTTATTTATTTATTTATTTATTTTTTGGCATATGAGACTGAAAGGCACGATCTCAGACATTATGTGGTGCATGTTCATGCCCATTTATTTGCTGTTACACAACACATACAGAAATCAAATCTCCATATGAAATGGCCATATATAATGTCACAGTCTGTTCAGGTACGAGCGGGCATCTGCTGAGAGTTTTGGCCCAGACATACGATATCATCAGAAAATGTCACTCTGCAGGACACTGAAGTCAAGATGTGCAACTCATATTTAAAATCCCCAGTGCTGAATCAGTCCATTCTCCCTTGCTTTTGTTCTAACCCCAGAACAAACAAATCTGAGGCGAGGGAGGGAGGAAGAGCAGGAACAGCCTTGAGTGTGAGCACTCGGAAAGTTTTAACTTTAATTCATTTTTGGTTAAAACACAGTTGAAGTGTTAGGTTTGGTTTCCCCTGCTCGAAAATAGCACCGTTAAGTTTCTCATTTGGTGAATTTTCACACAAGTGATAATCACACGTTTCTATAAATTATATTAATTTAACTTATTTCCCTAAACGTTGTTCTGCAGTGTGTAGCACGGATGTTCTCAGATTCTTGGCTGTGTAAGCTTGTTGCAGTTGGAAGAGGAACAGAGACATCTGAAAAGCATTATCTGGATTGTGGATGCTGGAGCATCTGATGTCACCTTGTGCTCTGGCTCAGCAGCCTGGCCGTCCCTCACTCTGTCTTTAATCGGCATGAGTGGCTCCCTCCATCTTGGACAGCACTCTAGACTGGCGTTTGTTATTATATGAGTGTACTTTGGGGACAGTGAACTCAGGTTGTCCCGCTTGTTGGTAAATCATTGAGTTCGCAGGGGAGTCATAGCTTTATGTTGACAAGACAAAGCAAACCCGTGTGGGCTGCGCTGTGTCTCTTCTTGTCTCTAAAAAGGGATATTTGTGTTTGTGAAACCGATTAACTTATCTTTCCCTTCTTTTCAGAGTATGATTTCATCCATTGTAAATAGCACATATTATGCCAATGTGTCAGCAACCAAGTGCCAGGAGTTTGGGAGATGGTATAAAAAGTATAAGAAGATTAAAGGTAATCCCAGCTTTTTGTTTGTTTGTCTTTAAAGCCTATCTGTAAAGTCTGAGGTCAAAGTGTTATGTTGTTAGCTCTTTGGCATAGACCTTAAATATAGATTCTATTTATTACATATATGTACATGCATAAGTAATTTTGAAGGTAAGATTCTTAACATTCTGTCATAAAATTCAACCCTTAGTTTAGTAAGAACTATAAGTAAGATAGTATTTAGACTACAAGAACAAGTCTTAAATATGTGTATTTACCAACTCGGTAGTTTTTTGTTTTTCCCAGTGACCCTATAAATGCCAAAATCCATTAGGCTGGAAATATAAAAGTTTTATTCTGTGTTACATAACACTTAGGATTTGACTACTGATTAACAAATTGGAATGACTGCCAAAGCATCAGGAAAGCTTTGGTTGGAAATAGAATTTTGATGTGTTTATTTAGAAACAAATCCTGTGGAGTGTAACCAGCAGGTTTCTGTGGTCTGGCAGATTTGAACTCAGATCTGGTGTTCGACTTACTAAGTATATGAATTTGGTCAAATTATTCAAATTAGTTAACTTCGAATAGATTCAGTATCTTCGTCTAAAAATTAGAAATAAAAGTATCTAGGTCAGTGGTTCTCAACCTTCCTAATGCTGCCCCACCCATAAAATTATTTTTGTTGCTACCTCATGACTGTGATTTTGCTACTGTTATGAATCATAGTGTGCGTGTTTGATATGTAGGATATCTGGTCGACCCTCAGGTTGAGAACCACCGATCTGGACCCTTTAGTAGCTGTCTGGATTAAATAAGATAATACTGACACAGAATCAGTTTTGAATAATAGCTAAGATGCACTAACAGTAGTCATGGTAGAAGGAGGAGGACCAGAAGTAACTTGGTACATAAGAAATTATGTGTAGCCTTAAAAACACAATTCTTTTACATAATGAATAACATGCTATTTAGACCATCCAGCCCTGTAAATATACCAGCATTATTTTACCTTTGCAAACATGTTCATGTAAAAGTCCTTTTATTCTCTCAATTCAGACAATGTGATTGGTCTTTGAGAAGATTTGGGATATTTTTTGTGTGTGTGTGTCAGTGACATTGATTTTTGAGGGCCACTCCAGTCTATAGTTTGCAAGATTGTGACACTGTCCCATCAGGCATTATTGTAGGTGTTCATGGGCTTGCTGGCAGCTCACTGGCCCCATTGGAGAGTCATGTGATGATCTGGAGGATAGGTAGACTTGAGGGCTGAATCGTGCTTTATTACTTGCAGGCTTCCTGGGGGAGACAGGCATGTATCAAAGCAATACTTCTGGCTATTGAGTGTCTGAGAGCTTCTTTACAAGACTGCCCTTGAGCAAACAAGCTTTCTGATGCATCGGCCACACAATCCAGATCAAGAAAAAGGGAGAGAAGTTTATGCTAAATACATGACTTACAGGAAAAATGTTGAGCTATCCAGAAGTTAAGTGTACTGCAAACTGAATTAAGATCAATTTCTTTTCAACATATTCTCAAACATTTTTGAGCCCTTTTGATTCTGGCTTAGGTATTTGTTTTTAAATATTAGTACTCATGCCTGCATAGGAGAAGATGAATACCTCATTATTTGGTATGATTGTATGGTTCAGAAGGCTTTCTTTTCTCTAAGTGTTGCCTCCAAGTTTTTCTTTTTAAAACTGCACTGGTAAAGTGCTTGAAATGTGAACGTATCGTCTTTGACTAAAAAAAAAAAAAAAAAATAAAATAAAATAAAATAAAATAAAATAAAAAGAACCATGCAGTTTCAAGGTCTTTTGTTAGATCATATTCATCTGCTGCTGTAAGGAAAGGAAGAGAGTGTGTTCTTTTATTTGCTAGATTTATGCTAGCCTCTAGAAGCCTGGGAACTTTTCAGTCTAGTGATTTTACAGTCACCACTGTAGTGTGTCCGTGTGCATGTGTGTACATGAGTGTGTGTGTGTGTGTGTGTGTGTGTGCTTGAGTTGTCTGCTCTTTCAGAGGTTCAATTCTTTAAGCTGTTTTTCTTTGTCAAGATAATAAATGCACAGTTAAATCTTTAAGTGCCACAACAGCAGCCTGAGGCCTTGACTTTATTCAGTAGGTCAAGGATCCACACCTGAAGAGGCTGTCAGACATTGCGTACACATGTTTTTCAAAAAGCTGGTTATTGCTGTTGGAAAGTGTGTGTGTATCTGTGTGTGTGTAAGTAGGAGGAGAAAAGGGAAGGTTAAGGTATGTGTGAAGTAAACACAAGCTGCCATAAAACAGTTCAAGTGGTGTTGATTCATCAGCCCAGGGAGTGGGAAGAAAAACAAAGAAAGCATGACAGGTAGAATAGTGTACAGAAAACAAGCAACCAGAGAAGTGCATTTTATTAACTTTCTACGTTCTGGAAAGAGGAAGTGTTGGGCCTAGTAGGGTTGTTTTCATTTGATACGGGCTTCTTGCTAAGGATGTATACTGCAAGGACTTTCTGTCCAGAACCATTTCTCACAAAAGAGTCATGCTTGGGTTTCTCACATTTGCCTGTGCCCATCTTTTTTTCAAAATGAAGTAATGGCGTTCAAGTCTGGACGTCCATAGCAGCCAAAGTGGACTGGTACGTTAGCGTCCCTCCGAGAAGGCTAGAGTCTGAGAGGCACATTCCCCCCTGCCATCTCACCAAGTTACGAGTGTGCGTCTGCCACACTTATGTTAGCTGCAGAAGGAAATCTGCAGCTAGCCTACTGATGTCCTAAACAAAATGCAGGCTGCATCGTTAAATATGTTTCCTATTATCTGCTAATGTCTGTTTTAATAAAACAGTGGGAACTAAATGGTTGCTTCTTAATCAAAACCATGATTTCCTGAACATAAGCTGTGTGATTCTGTTACAAATTGCCACATCTAGATCTCCCAGGTCAACTCTTTTTTCTATTCTCATAGAAATAAATAAACAGTAAAATAATTATATACTCTAAACATCAAAGCAAAATAGGACTCAAACCTGGCAAAAATAAGAGTCTACTAGAAGGATAAAAAAAAAAGATCAGATTGCAAGTTCTATAGTTAATGCTTAAATAAATATGAGAAAAATGAACAATCAATAATTTGATATCATTAAAAACAGATGTTAAAAACTATATACAATGGAATTGTCTCCATTTTGAAGTAAACATTTTAATGTGCATTTTTTGAATTTGTTGTTGTTATATCTAAACTATTTACACTTACTCTTTAAAAAGTCCTAAATTGGTTTGGCTTAGTCTGTTGACTTTATTTTCCCCAGTGATCACAGAAGGCCTTGCTCTGTTTACCTTTTTCCTTTAATTTCGAAGACAATCAAGGTTGACAGGGACATATTTGAGTTAGTATTACCATTACTTTAGGAGAGACCCGGAGACGGTTTGTATCTTCCGGTTTCCCAGACTTTCTGCTCCTGAGGAACATGGGTGGTGGTTGTTCCACTGCTCTGTGCCCTCTTTTAAACCTTGCCATTCAGTTCACCCTGTCATTTGCATCTGAGCTAGATTTCAGGAACACGCCACTCTTCCTTGTGAAGAACACGTCGTACTTTTATCCAAAAGGAAAGAGAACAGCCATTCAATGTTGAGGGGTTTATTAGTGTGGGCACAGAGGTAATCGTAGCCGCTGAGACACATTCATGTCACTGTAGAATCATTTTCAAGGTTTGGGGCTTCACTCCATGTATGTTACTTTCATAGTTGTCTTGTAAAACTTAGCTTTTAATCCTAAAACTGTTATTAAAATTAAAAACTGTTATTTTTTTTATAAAAACTCCAGATATAAACTTATCCCATAATTTTTCTTTTAATGAAACCATGTAGTGATTGCGTTTGCAGTACTATCACCAATTCCATTCTCACGTTTTCACAGGATTATTAGGAACAGAGAGGAAGGGGGCCAACAAAGGCATTCACATCGGTTTTGAATGGATTCTTGATTAGAAGATTCACATAAATTTATATCTAAAATATTTTTACTAAAATCAAAATGAATTGTGTTTACTGGGATTCTTCTCAAGTATTTAATATGTCTCAAGAACTGAAGGGTCATTTAAAGTTCATACAAATGTTGGTGGCTATTACAAAATTATTTATGTCATAGAATAATACCAGCAGAATGAATGGACCAAACCAAACCCTATATTTTGGTTAGGGTTGAAAATCATCCCATCACTTTCCTCTTCTTAATCATTGCTCAAAACACTCTGATTGCTAGTTTTCTTAATTTTATTTGTTTATTTGAGCCTATTTTGAAAAAAAATAATATTACAAAGCTGGGAGAAAAGAGGATTAAAAAAAAAAGCCAGTGTTACTTCCTTGAGTCTGGTTTATTCTAGTAATCAGTATTTTATCTGACCCTGTCTAATCTACTCTTGCAAGATCAAACGTCCAGGCCAGCATTCAGATAGTAAACAAAGCTCATGAAGGCTTGCAGTAAACACAAAGATTAGATGTTGAATGAAAATTAAACTCCTTGAACTAGTCCTCTGTACTAAAGTGGGTAAGTGGGTTGTGATTAAAAGAAATAAGTAATTATGATCATTATAGCCGAAATGATATAATGTTACCACATTTAAAGCACCTCTTGTACCCAAAAATGATTGTGTCATTTACAAAGTGGTGCCTCAGAGCTGAATGGAGAAATCAGTGTCTCCTGACCTGGTTCTTCTGGCAGCCCTTGCTTCGCCACGGTGGTGTCGGTGGTCAGGACAATGCCTTTAATCAGCTCTCTGTCCTGCTGCCTCTGCTGCTGTTTAGCTCTGATGAGGTGAAAGGGACTTAGTTTTGTCTACCTGATTCTCCTGAGTTATGGAAAGAATTTGCTTTCACCTTCAGGTCTGAATGAAGGTACCTTGCAAGGAAGCCGATATTATCCCTTTATGAAAGTAATGTCAACACCAAGTCCTTTGAATTTTATATAAATATTGGATTCAGGAGAATAGAAACACAATTTTTGCAGCCAACCATTTCTACCTTGCTGGTTTTTAGGCTTTCTGA